GTGACAAACATGTATGTGTTCCGATCACTCTATCACAGAAAAATAAGAGTTGTAGAAGACTCAAGACAGCCATAACATTATGATTTTTTACAAGTGTATGTACACTTTTGACCACAACTGTAGATGTCTGGTACCTTGTTCGGGTGCCTTGACCCATTTATTTCTACTGTGTAGTTCTGCTCACTTTAGTCCAGCTCAGTCCATAGATCTCTGATGGGTAACTTTTTTCTTTCTATAGTTTCTTCTTGTGCAAATGCTGCAAAGCTGCCTCTCTGACAGTCAATCTCACACATCTGCCACTCAGTACCTGTGTCTTACCTTAATACCTTTCCTGTCATAAGGCCCCTCTAGAAGTAGTGTTATCATTCTTCTATCTCCTATTAAGTGAGATCACATTGTACGATGTATTATTTATATGAACTGTTTCACATGAAACACTAGTACTGTACATACTATTCTCACAAAACTGTGATAACTGTGATTAAATTCAGTGTAAACAAATGCCATATGTTGCCACCCCTAAAAAAATTCCTGCCCCCCTCTTGCCACCCCATAAATATTTTTCTAGATCCGACCCTGGTTAGCAGGAAAGTTATGAGGGAGGAATTCAAAGTAATATTAAAACTTAAGAACGAGGAAGAACAAGATAACAGCCCCATTGCGGTGTCAAGAGAAATAAAAAGGAAAATTGGAGATTTTGAAATGGTAAAGATTTTAGAGATGGAAATCTATCGGTAGTCTGTAAAAATTATGAACAAAAGAATAAGGCTTTAGATGTGGATACTATCTGGGAAAAAAAAATAAAAAAAACTGCTGGAGAAAAAAATTATGGGAGAAAATAAATAAATTAGAGGAGTGATTTATGATACATCTAGATGATCTTGATAAGATTAAGAGAAGTATTGTAGGTAGAAACTGCATAACTAAAAGAGATTGTCAGAAACATAAATGGAAAAAAAAAGAAGGAAGCCTATCACTCCTCATTGAATTTGAGGAAAAAGTTGCCACAAAATAGGTTATCTCAGTTTTCAGGTCAGACCTTATATCCCTCCAGCACTTAATTGTTTCAAATGTCAAAGGTATGGACACAGCATCAGTTTGTAAAGGGAAGCAGAGATGTAAAAAATGTGAAGATCACAAGTTTGAAGAATGTAAAGAAGTACAAGAAAAAATTTGCAACTGTGGAGGGCAACATAGTTACTTATGGAGGATGTGAAGTAAGGAAGAAGGCAAAGGAAATTATACAGACTAAAATGACTAAGAACATAAGCTATGCAGAAGCAGTTAAAAATGTGAAGGAACAGAAAACGAGAGAGTGGAAAAATCAACAATTCAAATTCCAAAGCAAGACAGAGTAATAATAATACATTTTATTTGACAGCGCCTTTCTGGACACTCAAGGTCACTTTACAGAAAAAAAGGGAGTACAGTCGGAAGAAAATATCCCAATGTCAGTAGAAAAACTAATATCATCTGTAGAATATGTCATCAACTTTACTGACCAAGCCAAACATTAAACTGAGAAGATTAAAATAATAGTGAGAGGAGCTGAAAGGTTTTGGGGATTTAAAGAGGGATCATGGGAGAACATAAATAAAAAGTTGGAGGTAGATGGGAGACCAGGACCATCAAGTGAAACATGTAAATATTACAAAGGAATGCAAGAACTTTAATTGCTAACAGACAAAAACTTAAAGGTTATATTGATAGTCTTGAAGAACAACCAGAAATTATTTGTGTTCAGGAAACATGGTTAAAAACAACATTAGATGTTGTGTTCAAAGGATATAATACTGTAAGAAGAGATCGAGAGGAAGGAGGTGGAGAAGGATGTGTAATATTTTTAAAACAAGGGTTACAATATCACCTAGTAGGGAAAGGGAAATAAGTTGAATATACATAGTATTTAAGAAATGGGAAAAAGAAGGAAAATTGTGAATAATAAATTGGTATAATCCATGTAAAACATTATCAATTGAAAAAATGGAAGAGTTAACTGAATATTTGGAAGGGAAAGTAATTTGGCGTGGGGATTTTAATGCAAAAAGTACATTGTGGTGTAAATGTAATGATAAAAATTGACAAGTTATAGAAGAATTAATGAAAATAAAAAATCTTGTATTAATGATGGGAGGTGAACAAGAATTAATGTTAGGACAGGGATGGAATCAGTTATTGATTTAACAATTGTATCAAATGTGTTAGCTAGTATATGTGAGTGGTTCATTGATAAAAAATCAACAATAGGTAGTGATTACAATCCTATAACAAGATTTTATTTAAATAACAGGAATATAAAAGTCAATAAAAAACTTAATTTCAATAAGGCAGACTGGATTAAATTTAGAGGAGACGAAGTTTTAGATTGAGTCAAATGAACTTAGGACAAGTAGATATGAGGATGGATATAAATGTGTAAGATAATCATGGAAGCAGCAGATAATTCTACAAAGAAAACAGGGTGTAAAAATGATAAAATGGTACCATGGTGGACAAATGAATGTAAGGAAGCAATACAGTTAAGAAATACACCTTTTAAGGTAGTAAAATATAATCCAGTTTTTAAAAATTTTGTTGATTATAAAAGAAACCAAGCAATGGTAAGGAGAACTGTTAAGAATGCAAAAAGAGAATATTGGTGAAGTTTTTGTAGCACATTAGGGAAAGAAACAACGATAGAACATGTTTGGAAGATAATTAGAAAAATGAATACCATAAAGAGAGAGTTTGAAAATCCTATTTCAAAATAGATAATATAATAAAAGATGTAGATAAAGTTGAAATATTGGCAAGGACATTTAGTAAAATTCACAGCTCAAATAATATTAATGAAGAGGGAAGAAAAGGAAGAGAAAATACGAAACTTAAATATAAAGATTTATTGGAGAGTGTAGAAGAAACAAATAATTTATTGAATGCTGAGTTTACAAAAGCCGAATTAAAATATGCACTTAGGAAGACAAAAAAAAAATACAGCACCAGGTAAAGATCAAATTTGGTATAGAATGATAAGTCAACTTAGTGAAAAATCCAAAGATATAATATTGGAATTATATAATAAAATTTGGGAGGAGGGAAAATTATGGTCGAACTGGAAGAAATCGATTACAGTACCAATAGCTAAACCAGGAAATGATAACTGTAACCCAGAAAATTACAGACCAATAGCTTTAACATCAAATTTATGCAAAATAATGGACAACATGATTAATAACAGACTAGTATATTATTCAAATAATAAAGGATATATGTCAAAATATCAAAGCAGTTTTGGAAAAGGGAGGAGTACTAATGATCCAGCGCTACGTATAGAGCATGAAATTAGAAGAGCAAAAGTAAATAATATTTTTTATATATAAAAAGCACATGATATGATGTGGGTTGAGGGATTAACAATTAAATTAAACATGTTGGGTATTAAAGGGAAAATATTTAAAATGATTCAAGCTTTTTTAACAAATAGGAAAATACAAGTTAGAGTTGGTGAAGTGATCTCAGGGAAATATACAGTAGAAAATGGAACCCCGCAAGGGGAGTATTGTAAGTCCGTCACTGTTCTCAATTATGATAAATGATGTATTTAACGATATTGGAAAAGAAATGGGATGTTCACTTTTTGCAGATGATAAAGCTGTTTGGAAAAGAGGGAAAAATGTAGATTTCATTGTAAAGAAATTACAAGAGATTATTATTGAAATAGAGAAATGGGCGAAAACGAATTTCAGATGGATTAGTATACACAAAGGAAATGTTGGCAATATTATTAGCTTTACAATTGGTAGAAGACATAAAACCATGAAAAACAGTAATTTGTTCAGATTCAAGCTCGCTCTGCATTATTAAGTTTAAAATATAACCAGTCAGATAGTAGGATGGACATTCTATTAGAAAAATTTCGTACATTATTCTGAATTAAAAATATGGGTTTGATTGTTGTATCTGTGTGTGTTCCAGCACATATTGGAGTAGAAGGAAACTAGAGGGCAGATAAAATGGCAAAGAGAGCAAATCCAAATCCTATTAGTTTTACAGTTAAAACAAGTACATCGAAGGGAAAGAGTATTATTAAAAAAGAATAACTGATGGAAAATGGGGAAAAAAGGTGGGATGAAGAAAAAACAGGAAGGTGGTTTTATAAAATTCAGAAGATAGTAGGAAAAAGAAGAGATGGAAGACAAAATAGAAAGGAGGAGAGAGTGATAACAAGGTTAAGATTTGGGCATACAGGACTTAATTATACACTTTTCTAATTTCGAAAGCATACCACTGGCAAATGTGATTACTGTGGAAAATATGAAACATTAGAACATGTTAAATTCAAAAATATGAAGGCGAGAGAAGATATATGAGAGAGTTTGACTGTATTAAGAAAAAGATTAATTTATTAGATATTTTGAGGCAGAATTTGGGGAGTAAACATATAAAGATAATTATTCTATTTTTAAAGAAAAAATATTTAATAGAATTTGATTATACAGAGGGCGAATGTGTGTATGATATAGACGGGTAGAATGCAAAGTTATGTTTACCGAAAGAATTATTATTATTATTTTTTTTTTTTTTTGTTCCTTAGAAAGTTTTTATATGTTTATTAGTAGATAGTCCAATCAAACCACACTCCATACCATGAAGTGGCGGTAATGCTACTAAATGTTTGTTGCCAACCTCCAATAAATTCAACAAGAAGAAAAAGAAGATAGACATTTTCATATTAAATGTATTCTCTGTTTTATGTTTGCAGACATGTTTTCCCGCCATTGGAGGTTTGGTGCTGTCAGGTTCACCGATGTGGACCTCTTTGCAGACGGTTCAGAGTCCGGTGCAGAGACTCTTTCCCAGGCTATCAGAACCGCTGCCTCCGAGCAGCCGGACGCAGATGGCAGCGTGCTATTTGGCCAGCTGCGGGGCACTGTGGTTGGGCTCAGATATTACTCTGGTGTGGTGAGGAACACCTGTATTTATTAACGCCTTGTAGCTTCCCTCTTCTGTCCAGGCTCATTATCTACAATCAGTAGATCATTTGGTGCTATCCTAAAACATTTATTTGCTTTAAGATTTTATTTATAGTAAATAAGGGAAATTAGATGAATGTTACATGGACATTTCAGTAGTACTTTACCAGATCATAAAGTAGGTGTGTAGCCTCATAACATTTCTGAAAAAGTTGTATGTCAAAAAAGCTGGAATTTTTAAGGGCTTGGAAAAATTTTTATGGTTTAAATGGAATGTATGTAATGTAATGTAAAAAAAACTGTAAAAGTTGAGATATTTTAGAAATCTGGAGTATTTGGATGGTTTGTGTGATTAAGGATAATCAAGTAGTTGAACAATTTATACCTAGAAAACATGTTTCTCAAGATCAAAGAAAGGGTTCCGTTATAAATATTCTATTATTTAATGAAATACATATTTGTTACTAGTCTCATGTTAT